CTTAGGGACTGAGTGCTCATTTTGAAAGGGTAAGCTAGGCATCTAAATTTTAGAATTTGACCGTATTGGGAACCATTAATCATGTAGAAACTTTTACAAAGCTATATGTAGTTAGTTTGGTTTGGGTCCTCAGGGACACATGAAAATTTGAATATTAGAACACTGGGAGAGTCGAAAGAGAATAAAGGATTACAACTACGGAAGAATGTTAAAGAGTGAATGAGGATTTTTTGTTTCATGCAGAGGGGCCAACTGTGACTTAAACATCTTTATGATCATGAATATGTTAAACAATGTTGAGAGAATTTCCTTTGTCTCTAAAGAGGTCAGAAAAAGGATAATAGATTTAAACTTAAAGCACTGATGATTGGTGTTATAGGATATGTTTTTTGGCTTTAAGGAAACTTATTGCTAGCATTTGTTGACATTAAGTGGGGAACAACACAATAATTGGAGTCTAGTCAGCTTTGTGTTAGTAATCTATGGTCAATTGAATCAGTACCCTCTTTACTGCTGTAAATCCATCTTAAGGGGTTAGGGGTGTGTGCAGGGGTGGCGTAACTTAGGTTCTTGCTTTGTCCGTAAACTGTGGGGCCATTATGATCAGTTAGAATAGATGCTTTAATCATTCAGAATCATGTAGGTAGAGGGAGAGCAGAGCACCTTATAGAGTACAGTCAAGTTCAATTAAGCTCTTGCTAGGGCTGCTTAATACTAAGTATCCTGGTGCTTTATAGCTTAAATTAAATATTGTGAGCAGCTTTCTAACTTCTAATTTGATTTAGTAGGAATGATTAAGCTAAGAAAATCCTCACTAACTAATAATTGCTAATAAGTAAATAACTAATAAATGAATTTGTAATCTTTTTTACATACCAGGAGGTGGGAATGATTGGAAGCTATTTTACGAAGTTGCCCACCACAGTGTAGTTAAGGCTTTTCTGTGTTTGTTTATTTTAGTTATGAATTTGGATTTTGGAGTTATTAATGCTTTGGGTTCCATTGCTTTTTTTTGAACTATCTAGTATTGGAAATTCTCATCATTATTTTCCATGCCTTCAGGCATAATAAACCTTGTCTTTCGTTAGTAAAGCAATCTTAACTGCAGGGATGGAGTGAGTGAAGTGTGTGGTGTCTTCCTCTCCCCCTGACCCCACTCTCCCAACCGAGATTCCAGCGCTTTTCCTCTCTATACCATATACACCTGCTACAGGCCACACCATACTTTACTTTCTTTTTCTCTAAGAATACTATTTGTCTTCCTGTCTCTCTACTTTCTAATTATTACTCCCCTTTCTGTCTATTTGAATGCCACCCAGTCTTCACTAACATTCATACTTCCTTTGTGTCTATTCTGCCCAATGTTTTATTTTTTGGGTGCTACTTCTGACCCTTTTTCAGCTGTTGCTTATTTGTTAGATCTAGAATAAAGATATATTTCAAAACTTTATTATATTAAAAATATATAAATATTGATTTGTTAGCTACATTCTAATTATTATGAAGATGGATTCTCTCATACGTCATGTATCCTCCAAGTACCCAGTGCTAAGCACATAATAAGAACTCAGTATTTATTAGTAGTATAATTGTAGGTAGGAAAAGTGGTGGATTAAGTGGTCTTGGAATTTAAATATGAGTATTTTTTTCTGATTTCCCTTGAGATTAAATTTTGACAATGTAAAATATATTCTTGAATAACTGAGGTCTGTGTTCACACTTTATTTTTTGAAAGGATGCTCAGTCACCTGCAGGTTCTTTGAATAGGAGCAAGTGTCCATAATATGTGACCTTATAGGATTTTAAATATTGTAATTACAACCAAGCTCTGAAAAATAACTTGTGTGTGAAGATGGAGGGACAGTTGGGCTTTAAATTATTGAAAAATTGCAAACCAGCACCCCAGTGGTTGCTGTTTTAATATACAAAATACAAATAATAAGATAATATTCCTATTTTTTCAAATTGAATTATACTACTCTGAGTTAAAAAAAAAAACAGTTGGCTTCTGCATATACAAGTTCAGAGGACAATGTTAAGCATAAATGGTGAAACACAGTTTATTACATATAGATCAGCGTTAAATCTCATTTCTGTAATACAGGAACTATTGACTTAATCCCTACGAGCCTTAGTTTCTTCTTATGAAGTAGAAACAATTATAACGTATCTCAAAAGGTTAGAGGGAGGGATAGACCATCTAATGCATCAAGCACTTTACCTGGTATCTAACACACACATTGTCTCCTACTTTTCTCCCCCCGCCCCCTTATTTTAGAGACACATTATTTAATTGAAATTCTTAAAGTTTTTGTTCTTGTAAGGTACTAGAGGCATTTTGATATTTTTAAGAAAGTTACTAATTATAACAGTGATCCTGTGGGAAATTAGAGTTTGAAAAAGAGGTTGTCAATAATGCAACATGAATATTTTTTCAAAGAATTTATGATTTTTTTTACTTCAAAGTAGTACATTTGAAAAAATAATACTAAGCTTAAAAAATAAATGAAGACTTGTTGCTAGTTTGAGGTATCATACAATTTTCTGAAATCAGTCAAAAGATCTCTAGGTGAATGAGAAAATAAAATTTGCCACCTTTACAAGGGCAGTAGTTTTATAGTAAAATTATTTTAACCGGGCTCTTTGAGGAATGCAGTTTTCTGGCTAAAAATTCCTTTTGTTTCAACCCTTTACATAAATGTCTCACTTTCCTGCCTTAGAGAAATATATGTATAGAATATCATAGCTTCTTTGTTTGTAGACTGAGGGTCTTTCATTGCTCATTCTAAATAACAATGATGTGGCATGGCCGTGTGGACGGCCTTGTTCTGAGTAGGGTCAGATCAGGCTAAAAGTAACCCAGGGCATACCAGCCCTCCTGCACCTCCCTCCCCCCCAATTCCCTAATATCATTGTTGCCTTCGTTTTTATATACCACTTTTTTCGGACACTTTCTAACAAATTGCAATTCTGCTTTCTTAAAACTGAAAATTTATTAAAGGAGACTTCAGAGCTTATTTAGCCAGCATCTTCATTTTATAGATGAATAACCTGAAGTATAGGTTAATCGATCTGCTCAAGGATGAAAAACAGAATCATTAACAGAAACAAAGATGTAGATTTCCTCATTAAACTGACACTTTAATAGTGTCCCAAATGTTGGTGGTTATCTTTGATCTTCTTTGAAACAGGTAGATCGACACTTGAGAAAGCTGGATCAGGAACTCGCTAAGTTTAAAATGGAGCTGGAAGCTGATAATGCTGGAATTACAGAAATATTAGAGAGGCGTAAGTAAAATTTACGTTTCCCATCCATGTTGGATAGTATGTGCACAAGTCACTGAGGAGAACTGGGCCCACGGAGACTTCTCAGATCCTGCACTCGGTGGATGGTGGCAACCAAGTCGGAGAGCTTGGGCCTTGGCAGGTGAAACTGTTTGGGTCATGGAAACGAGAGAGATAACGTAGAATATTCTCACTGGCTATGAAAATAAAATGTGAAGTCATTCCATTTTTAATATGCATGTATGCTAGTAAGCTGAATGGTAAGAGCAGAGATTTAAAGAAAAATAACCATCTAGAAACAAGTCAACCATTTGTCATGAAATGTATTGACTTTGCCCTGCCCGCTTAGCCTTTGTATAAATTGTAAGCTTTGAAGAAGGTTATTATTTCTCCTTAAGAATCATTTTAAGGCTTTTCCTCAACTGTGTTAATAAGAAAAATTTTAATAGGCTCCACAGTCCTGTCTCCTCTAAATTTTCTCGGATCAGCGAGAAGCCATTTTAGTATTTCTTTGCAAGGTTCTCAGCTTGATCTCTTGCTCTAGTTATCCTTATAACTTCTTGGGTTTAACTAAGGAGATTTCCCAAAAGTGGAGACATAAGCTTTGTTTTTTTTTTAAACTAATTGAGCATTTATTCCAACCTAAATAGGTGATGTCCATAAAAGCATGTGGTGTGGTGTTAAGCCCAGAGTAGACACCAGCTAAATGTTAGTGAGCTAAATCAGTATTGTGGCTGATTTCTACTAGAATCTAGTTTAAGGGTTCAAACATCTTTTTTACTTGGTTCATTTCAGTGACAAGAACATGTACATATTTCTACACACACCCCCCCGAAAAATTTACTTACAGTGTTAGGTTATGTATCTCTGTTGATATACTTTTGTTAACTAGAGAAGCAGCCAGGTATGAATCCATAGCTGTATTCAAAATGGATCCATCAATTTAGATGATCATTTAATTTAGTTGTGATATTTTTATTCCAGGGGAACCCCATCTGATAATAATAAGTATTTTGAGACAAAATAAAATGTCCTTTAGCTGCTTTGATTTTTTTTTTTTTGACACACCGTAACAGAAATTCATGCCTATTCAGTACTGCAGGAAGGTTCACAAAGCATCCTCATGAGGACACAGACAAATGAAACTAAATTGGATCAAGATATAGAAACTGAACCACCCTATGCCCTGCCACAATTTCATCTCAAGGGATCACAATAAACACAGAACATTTATTTAAAAGTATTGTAAAGCTTGGCGGTAGATTCTATGCTTCACTTTTCACAAGCAAAATCCCTTTACTGTCTTAGGTCATTTTAGTGATCAAAGAATTTCCTTTTGTACAGTAATGTCCCGTTGCTTAATACTTTAGGATCTCCCATAGAAAAGAGTTATAATATCCATTCATCCACTTATTTGGTACCTACTATTGTGCATTCCCTTAATCGAAATTAGCATGCCTTGACCTGTTTTGTACTGAAGGTGAATATTGAGAAATGGATTTCTTATTGTTTACAGAAAGTATGCAATTGATTCAGGGTGAAATTGGCAGTGGTGACCTAATGTGTTTGACTAAAGTGACACAGGCATATACATCAGAGTTTGCTAGTCCTCTGCTGAGTGAGGGTACACAGTACCTGTAGTTGATTGACATGTAAAGTTCTGTGGTGACAGTTAATGACAGTGAATCTCTCTGTCATTTTTTTTCTTTTTTCAGGATCTTTGGAATTAGATACTCCTTCCCAGCCAGTGAACAATCACCATGCTCATTCACATACTCCAGTGGAAAGTAAGTTTGGTTTATTAGTGCAAATAAAATTTTAAATAGAATTAAAAGCTCATATTACCTGTACATTTTTTTTATTAGATCTACACAACTGATTGAGACATAAGTATCTTTCCCTTCCTTTTCTTTCGTTAGATATATATTTGTCATTGCAATTATTGGCAGACTTCTCTTCTTCACTTGGGAAAAGCATCTTTGATTTGGGAACGGGGATCTGTTTTTCCCTAAAATCCATAGAGGAAGACTGTATGGTACTAATAGCAGCATATACTTCCTACACACAAATACCTAAGGCAAACAGCAAAGTACTCCATGGCGGGCTCTTTGTCTTTTTCATTCTTGCTTCTCCAGTGCTTAGTCTACTGCTTGGCAGAAATAATGTTTCACTTAGTGACTAAGTGAATGGTAAGTCAGTTGGCTTGATGACTGTCTGCATTTTTTGACAAATCAATTTGACATGATAGAAGAGTTGATTGAAAATTTATCTAAATTGTAGGTAATGTTTTCAAAACAGAATTTCCCTCATGCTACATGTGAACCCATTGTGCATCGATGAATTAACTTCAGTACTTTCCTGCTAAAAATTTTTTTAAATGTCTAAGAAGTTTGCTCTTGATAAAACATGTAACATAGAGAGTTCTGTTTGTCCTCTTATAAGAAAACATAATGTTCTGTATATCATGAGGAACTCAGATCATAAAATGTACCAGTTTATAACTAAATGGAAGTATTATGCATTGTCTATAGTTCTCTAAAGTTAAAAAACACATGGATTCTTTATATGCAGAAAGGAAGTATAATCCAACTTCTCACCATACGACAACAGATCATATTCCTGAAAAGAAGTTTAAATCTGAAGCTCTTCTATCTACCCTAACATCCGATGCCTCTAAGGAAAATACACTAGGTAAGTATTCTTAAATGTGATTGGTTGCTTTTGCTTGTTCATGTTAAAATAAGGGAAAATTAAAGCACTCAGGATTAATGAATATACAGATTCTTTACCTGGTTAATTTCTACATAAGGAGAAAGAAGAAAAAGGAAAAAATATGACATGAAAATTTTAAATTAATGATTATATCTGTTGTGAGAAATAAAGTATTTTAAACACACTAACATTATGTTCTCTCTGACCATTTCTATTTATTCTTTAATTCTACACAGGTTGTCGAAATAATAATTCTACGGCCTCATCCAACAATGCTTACAATGTGAATTCCTCCCAACCTCTGGCCTCCTATAATATTGGCTCATTATCTTCAGGAACTGGTGCAGGGGCAATTACCATGGCAGCTGCTCAGGCAGTTCAAGCTACAGCTCAGGTAAAAAATGGAAAAGGTGTGGAACATGGTGTTTCGTTTTGTTCGAAATATTGGCAGATTCTAGTAGAAACAACTAGGTGTGGACAAGAAGTTTTCTTAATTGCACAGGTTCATTTTTAAGTCATAGTTTTATGATATCTGATATTTTATTTAAAGAAATGAACATGCAGAAATTACTTGATTGATAATGAAAAATAAAAAATAGATTCATACAGTCTCATGCAGATTCCTTCTCACAATAATTGTTCATGATGTCCATGTTCTTGACTATGACGCACAGCACCTGCTAGGACAATACTTTGTTCTATCTACCCGTTCCCGGGCGTTCTCTATAGCCTCAGAACATAGGTTGCCTTGATTTTAAACTCTTTACACAAAATAGCTTAAAATTATAATGATGAAAATGGTTTGAACAAAATAAAGTAGAATTGGTTAAACCAAAGTAATGTAACTAGTAATACTTAAGAAAGACAATCTACATATGTATGTATATTAATACTATCAATGAATGTCTATTCAAGATGAAAGAGGGCCGAAGGACATCAAGTTTAAAAGCCAGTTATGAAGCATTTAAAAATAACGACTTTCAGCTGGGAAAAGAGTTTTCAATGCCCAGGGAAACAGCTGGCTTTTCATCATCTTCAGCGCTCATGACTACATTGACACAGAATGCCAGTTCATCAGCAGCAGACTCACGGAGTGGGAGAAAGAGCAAGTAAGTCTTATTGCTACGGGAGCCCTGCCCCTTTACCAAGCGTGCAGCTGGCGGGCATCCCCTGGCTTTCATGTCAAACAGGCAGCCTATGAGGGGTCGGGATGCTTGGGGAGGTGAAAGGCATGGCATTGTCATTCATACTGCCGTACTTTGAAGAGGTAAAGTCTGAGTTAAGAGTCTTTAATTTTTCTAGTCTTAAATTGGGTTTATTAATTATTTCTGTTTTCTTTCTTTTATTCGTTAGGATAAACCATTTTATGAAACTTTCTTCATTTATAACCTCTTATTTTAGGCAAATTAATACATAAAATACAAATTAAATCCTGGGAATTTTTTGTTTTTAAATAAGATTCTTCTTTTTGATTAAGAACAAGGTGTCTTAATTCTTGGTCTTAAGTCCCCAAAATTGAAATTATGAATATATCCCTAGATTTTGTATATTATACTCTTAGGATGATTGTATTGACTTTAAATATGAAAACAATGGTACTTGGCAATGTCTGTCCTAAATACCTGCATATGCTAGGTGTTCATACAGAATGAAAGTTCAAATGCTAGGCCAACAGAATTAGTTACCTAATAATTGTATTATAATTTTTTAATGTAGTCTATTTTTGTAAGTCCCTGAAAGAATGATCAATGTAGAATTACCACAAAAGTGCTAAGTATTTTAAAAATTAATTCATCTTAATGACCCAAATTTATTACAACTGCCAGTGATAAATGTTTGTATTTTTACAATTGAATTAGCATGCAGATAATGGTAAGTTACTTGTGAATTTTAAAACTTTTGGTTTCCTGTCCTGCACAGGTAAGTATTCACACATTGGTTGATGATCATGATCATTTTTACCAAATGCTTTTTTTTAAAAATATGTGTTTTTTTTATTTTTTAGAGAGAGAGAGAGATAGAAACATCGATGAGAGAGAAACATTGATCGGCTGCCTCCTGCACATCCCATACTGGGGATCAAGCCTGCAACCCGGACATGTGCCTGACCAGGAATCGAATCAGTGACCTCTTGGTGCATGGGAGGACACTCAACCATTGAGCTACACTGGCCAGGCTCACCAAATGCTTTTCTATACATCTTTGTATTTTAGATTTTGATGAAGACTATTCAGTGTGCTTAAAAATACAAAGAATATCTGTAAGGGAGCCATAACTAATACTAATTCTTAAAGATACTGCCTACAATTTAAGTCAATAGTAAATAGTAACTGATTAAAAAATTACTTTAAAAACTCTGAAATATTTTGAAAAAAATTTCCTTTTGAATATCTTTATTCTCCAGATAGCAAAAAAATTTATTTATTTTTTTATTTTATTTTATTTTTTATTTTTTTAAAATATATTTTATTGAATTTTTACAGAGAGGAAGGGAGAGAGATAGAGAGTTAGAAACATCGATGAGAGAGAGACATCAATCAGCTGCCTCCTGCACATCTCCCACTGGGGATGTGCCGGCAACCCAGGTACATGCCCTTGACCGGAATCGAACCTGGGACCCTTGAGTCCGCAGGCCGACGCTCTATCCACTGAGCCAAACCGGTTTCGGCTAGCAAAAAATTTTAAAGAAAAATAAATCATTATGAAAAATGTTGCTCTTTGTTGTTCTAAATGATTATGCTTTTAAAACTATCAGATTAATTTGATCTTAAACATTAATTTGTATATTTGATTTCATACCACTTTTATTTAGTAGTTATTCTCAAATAACTCTGGATGCTGAGCAAATAAAACTGATGCTGTTTTTTCAGAAACAACAACAAGTCTTCAAGCCAGCAGTCATCCTCGTCCTCCTCCTCCTCTTCCCTGTCATCATGTTCTTCATCATCAACTGTTGTACAAGAAATCTCTCAACAAACAACAGTAGTACCAGAATCCGATTCAAATAGTCAGGTCGATTGGACTTACGACCCAAATGAACCACGATACTGCATCTGTAATCAGGTAAAAGTCTGGCATGTGTCTATAAAAGCACAATCTGAACAAACTAGGAAAGAACAATTTCATTTTTTTTCAAGTGCTATTTTTACTCCAGTTAAAATACCCTTGCTTTTTTTATACATATACAATTTTCTCCGGCTTTTTATAAAAATGATGTTTGTTGTAAATACAAAGAGTATAAAGAAACATGTAAGTTACCCATAATCTCAGCCCTCAGATGTAACCTGTAATTAAACATTTTGATGTACCACTACTACATATCCCACATACATATTGTCTTAGTCTGTTCGTGTTGCCATGATAGTATACCACAGGCTGCATGGTTTAAAGAACAGAACTTTGTTCCTCACAGTTCTGGAGACTGGGTAGTCCAAGATGAAGGTGCTGACTGATTTCATTCCTGGGTTAAGGAAAGGAAATCTTGTATAAATCTTGGCAAATAAAAGTAGGCTACCTACAAAAGAACAAAATCAGATTCACCCACAATTTCCCCTCCATAACACTAAAAATCAGAAGTTGATTAAATACGTATGTAGAACTTTGAGGGAGAAATTTGAGTGTTCCCCCAAAAACTGTCACCCAGAGTAAAGTTATTGTTCATGTCCATAGAATCTGAAAGTATGCCATCTAGTTGCCTTTTCTGGAAAATTATTCAGTCCATTGAGAACTTCAATGAATTCAGGAGTTAGGAAGTTGTGCTATAAAGTGCTAGCAGTGTACAGCAAAAAGGAAAATGAGAAAGGACATATAATACGTAATGAGTTTAGAAGTTTCAATGAAATGGACTGTTGACTGCTAAAATGTAGATGACCTAATGTGACCCAGGAAAAAATTAAAACCGAAGCAGGTAAGTAACCAAAAAAGAAACTTAAGGTCTTTAATAAAGGAACCATCCACAGAGATGACTCCCACAGAGCAGGTTCTTTCAGACTTTCAAAGGGCATGTAATTTCTGTGTCTCCCCCTCCACCTCCATAAAGTCTTTTGGAAAAACTAGGTAAATGTATAAATCTATGTACCCTGTTTCTTAATGCAAGTGTATATTCAGTGTATTTCCATTTTCTAATAGTATCATGAACAGTTAATTTGGATTTGGTTGCTTGTTCTGTAGTGATAATAAGATTTTTTCTTTAACCAGGTATCCTATGGTGAGATGGTGGGCTGTGATAACCAAGATGTAAGTATCACATTTTTCTATTCAGGAATGAAAAAAATCACATTATTATTTGAATATTTTTATTTATTGTGTCTTTCAGTCTAAGAAAACAGTTTGCAGTTATGTTAATTATGTAATATTAGTGCTAGAAATATTCCTCTCCAAAATAGGATAGTGTCTCTTAATGTGTTCCCTATTTTCACTTTTAAAGCTAATTTTATGGTTTTATGCAAATTGTATTTCTCAAAAAGGTGTTACATTGTATGAAAATTAGAAACACCCCTCCCCCTTTGCTAAAGAATATTGTGTTTGCTAGAATTCAATTTACTTATCACAGTGAAGAATTGGAACTTGAAAACAATACATTTTTTCAAGAAGCATGATGCTTAGGTGAAGGGTGGGGATGTTGAGCATCTAATGTGAGATTATTTTCCTCCCATTAGTGTAGTATGTCCTATTGTACTCTGCAGGTGTCAGCTGATATAAAAAAATCACTTACATTAAAAAAAAAGGAGTCTTAAAATTGCTCTTCTTTTGAAAGCTTACTTTTGATTAGAGATACTCTTTATTGAATGCTGAGAATATGTTTGTTTAGTAATTTTCACTCCCTCCTTACTTTCATATAACTCTTTTGTCCATCTTTTACTCCAGAGAGGTAACAACTCTGAATTCTATAGAAATCCTACTCAGGAATGTTATGCTAAGAGATTTAAATTTATAAACAGTGTAAAGATTGAGCAGGTTTGGCTAGGTACCTTGAAATTTGGACTTTCTCTGACTTGACAGGGTCCCAAAAACATGTTCGCATAGAAAGAGAAAGACCCTCCTTCCACTTCCCTCTTTAGAATCACTTGTGGGCTGCTGGTATTATTGTAAAACAGTATTGCCCAAGCATTTAAAGAATACCATTGGAAACTGTCTCCTAGGCAGTTAGTGGAAATGACAAATAAGATTTCTGTGATTAACCTATCGTATTCTGATCTGAGGGCTCTTGGACTGTGAGAGGGTGCAGGCCAGGCTGAGGGACCACCCCCTCCCCCAGTGCACAAATCTCATGCACCAGGCCTCTAGTATTAAATAAAATCTTTAAAATAAATTTCTTTTTTACATAAGAGACCCATCTCACTTCTTATCTTTAAAAGTTGGTATCAACTTACTCTCCAAGAAAATGAAAATTAGTAAATTTTAGTTCATTATTTAGAATTATGGAAATAGATTACATGAATCTCAGTTAACAAAGGTGCATAATTTTTCTGTGCCTCCATTGCCTCATCTCTGAAGCTTATCAGTTGGACCGTGTTGTTTATAAATCAGCTCCTAGATCTAAACATTATGTTTCCATTAATCTAATATTTGGTGTAGTGGACATAATTTAATATACTCCCTAATCTTTAGAAGAACTAAAAACTTCTTTGCAATTTTGCTTTCTAGTGCCCTATAGAATGGTTCCATTATGGATGCGTTGGGTTGACAGAAGCCCCAAAAGGAAAATGGTACTGTCCACAGTGTACTGCTGCCATGAAGAGAAGAGGCAGTCGGCACAAATAAAGATGGTCATTTCATTTGGGAAAGAGTAAGACTTCAACTAAACATTTTATATAGGACTTTAAAAGAGAAGAAAAGAGAAAGAAGATACAGTGCATTTCCAGGCAACCACTTAAAGGATTTACATAGGCAATCCTGTAAGATCTTGAACTTGAATTTTATGGGTTGTATTTTAATAATGTAAGTAAATTATTTATGCACTCCTGGTGTGCTATGAATATTATTCCAGTTAGCCTTGGATTCTTTCAGTGGCCAACATATGCAGACATTTGTATTCCTCAGCCGTTTTCACAAAGTAATGGGCATTCTATAATTTAGACTTTAAGAATTCCAACGATGAAGGTTTTAAGAAAAGTATTTTATATTCAACAGGTATGTTCTGCTGCATGTACTGCACTCCAGAGCTGTTATGTAATACTGTATATAAATGGTTAAAAAAAAGGTAGTGCTTCTAAAAAGAATTTAAGATAATGGTTTTTTAAATGCCTTTATAATAAGCTTTGTTTCTTTGTGAAACTACATTCAGCAGGCTGAAGGAAGTGGTTCATGTGATAAAGTGAGCTGGTGTCCTCTAGAGTACCTGGGTACATAAACAGAAACTCCTGTAGGTAAAAGCTAATCTGTGCCATTAGTCTTTCTATGTCTCTACATCCAGACCGAGTGCAGTTCATGAGGGTGGGAGGGGAGGGGCTGAAGGGGAAAGGGTATTAAAGTGATACATTTTTATACCAAATGTGTTTATTTTTTTGTGCAAGTAATCCTTAAAATTGGAATTGTATTAGGTGTTAAAATAAAGTTTTTAAAAAAGTACTTGTATTTATACTTTACACACTTAATGAAAATTTCTCAATTCTAATTAAATTCCAATTTTCATAATCTAAGGACTGAGGCCCAGGACACAGAAAGCTGTTTAATCTGTGATTTCTTTAATAATGCTTAGAATTTGTGATGTGAAAATAAGGGAAAGACATTTTTAATGTAAATTTGAAATGCAGATGTATTTTTTTAGATCATCTCTCTGACTTTTCCTTCAGTTGGAAGGACATGAAAGAAGTCTAATTACAGCAGGTAAAATGAAAATAATGGTTATAGATATTTGACTTAAGGCAGTGTGGCCAATTTAAGTAAAGCGACCCCTGGATTGGAGCTTAAAATTCAGTTCTGTTTTTTATTTTACCATATACTAGTATGACAGTTAATTCAATTTTTTAATCACTCTGGGCCTTACTAAACCAGGGTGATGCTAGCTGTAGGAAGTCTCTAAAGCACTTCTATGGTTTTATTCTATAGGTGCTATTTAAATTATAAATTTTGCATACTATTGAGTCTGGTCAGTAGAAAAATCCTTAAAGCTTTTAAAATATTTATTATGTCATATTTTTTATATCAAAACGTACTGGGTACATCAGATTTTTACTTTAATGAAAACTACTTATGAGCCTCTTAGAACTTATTCAGAAAACTGTGACGTCTATGCAATGCTACCCAAAGGGTTTGGGTTAGATAGGGGATTTCAAAGTTCTCTTCCAGCTTCCCAATGCCACAGCTCTGAGCTGCTGCAGTCTGTTTTATAACTGGACAGCCCATAAAGCTAAGTTAGGTTCATTTGTGGGTTACCATGATTTCATAGTATCACTAGTATCACAGTTTGGTGGTACTCAGTATTTCATGGAAATTTTATAAATCTTTAAGAAATAATATATAACGTAGTATTCAATTAGCTTATCAGCATGTTGCCTGGAGATGCTTAGTGTTATTGTTTAATGTTCTAATTAAATGTAATGATTTTCCCAAACTTATTTGTATTATAGGAATTGGTCAAAGGATAAAGCCTTATATTCAGCCTTATTTTCAGAGAAAGTTCCTTGTCAGAGTCAGGAACATCCCTACTTCCAGCTGCTACAGCCCTTTTCAGTATGTGAATTCCACTGCTTCCCAAATCACTCCGAAAACATTTTGACAAATCTTCAACGCAGACATTGACTATTTTGTGAAGTGTGTATAAAGAAGTAAACCAAAACTTTGTGCAGTTATTTAATAATGGGTGGAACCTGTTAATATCTCAGATAGCCAGACATGGAACTACCTCATCAAAAATAATGTGGCCAACTATTAGTGTTTGTTGTGACATTGACGAGGGGTATGATGAGCATTTTTGGTATTATCAAATACACATTCAAAAATCTCTGTTGTGTACAAAACTCATGTAACAATTGGTGGCATAAAAAAATACAAATGTGGGTTCACAGTTTATAGGTGGGGAAAATTGAGGCCTTACTGCTGTGGAGTGTATATTAAAATGTTCATGGTAACACACTTGAAGCAATAAATGGCTTAATTAAATGCCTAAATGAAGCTGAGTGTTTGATAAACATACAATCATTCTTTTTAAGGGCAGTTAAGTTTTTTTGCTCTTTGCTCCTTTAAAGCAAATTGTACCTATTTTAGATTTTTAGCAACCTTAGGCTGATACAGCAATAGTGCCCTTTGTCCTTAGACCTCAAAAATGGTCTTCTTGATCTAATGAATTAATTCAACCTTAGAAAAATAAATGACCACTATACTTGGTTTGGAAGGGGTAAGATACTCTTTGCATGTGTAGACATTCTAGAATGTAGACATTCAACTCTCACACGTTTAAAAGGAAATCTTCCAACAAATGGGCTTTAAGAGGAAAGATGCCCTAGAAAATGCTTATAATTTTACAAACATTAAGCACCTAAATGTTGAGAATACAGAAATGCAGGTGTGTGTGTGTGTTTGTGTGTGTTCCTGTGGGAAGTGGGAAGGACAGACATGTCCTCAAACAGTTGCGGTATTTTTTCTTTTTTTAAATATATTTTATTGATTTTTTTTAACAGAGGAAGGGAAAGGAATAGAGAGTTAGAAACATTGATGAGAGGGAAACATCGATCAGCTGCCTCCTGCACACCCCCTACTGGGGATGTGCCCGCAACCAAGGTGCATGCCCTTGACTGGAATCGAACCTGGGACCCTTTAGTCCGCAGGCCAATGCTCTGCCCACTGAGCCAAACCGGTTAGGGCCAGTTGCGGTATTTTGATACACACGATAGTGTATGAGTATACACAGCTCTCTGGGAACACTGGGAGACGACCTAGGAGGTTTCATTTGAACTGATTCCTAAAGATGGATAGTAGAGACGGTTTTCAAGGCAGAAGAGATTGTTCAACAACCACATACATTCTGGGAACTTAAAAGTAGTCAGGAATGGGTAGACATGGGGTAGAGAGATGTGTCAGGTCAGGGAACGAAGCCAGAAGCTGGGCAAGAGTCTCTTCAGGAAGAACATTTGACACTGTGCCATGGAATTGTTTGTTAATAGGAATAGTAGTGACATTTACTTATTGTTGGTTAAATACATTATATTGTTATTATTTAACAGTTTAATAAAATAGCATTTTTTATGTTTGTATTGATTTTTAGAGAGAGAGGAAGGGAGAAGGAGAGAGAGAAAAACATCAATGTGACAGCGAAACATCGATGGGCTGCCTCCTGCACACCCCCTACCGGGAATTGAGTCCACAACCCAGGCATGTATCCTGATGAGGAACTGAACCGACAATCTCTTGGTGCACAAGATGGCACCCAACCAACTGAGCCACATCGGCCAGGGCAGCATTTTTTAAATAAGATGATAAAATCAGCCCTGGCCCGTGTGACTCGGTGGAGAGCATCGGCCAGTGCACCAAAGGGTCGCAGGTTCCATTCCCGGTCAAGGGCACATACCTGGGTTGCAGGTTTGTTCCCTGGCCCGGTTGGGGCGCATGTGGTAGGCAACCTATTGATGTGTCTCTCTCAAATTGATGTTTTGCTCTCTGTCTCCCCCCGCCCCCATCCCCTGCTTTCACACTGTCTAAAAATCAAAATTAATAGAAAAAACATCCTTGGGTGAGGATTTAAAAAAAAAAAAGATTATAAAATAGGCTGACAATAGTTAATTATCTAAACTTGGAAATGTTTTAAAAATTCTATACTTAAGATTAACCTTTTCTCCCATATTTTGAAACACTACAAATTAGAATTGCTAGTCAGGATTTTTAGATTTCCTTTTTAGATGATAAATCTAAAATATTTAAGCAGATTGTGATTTCTGACCCAGGATCTTAATAGTCATGATTTGATTCTGCTACAGAGAAATAAGTTAAAGTTTAAAGTTATGAACTGACTTCAGTATTTTTTTATTGTAATTAAAGTTTGTCATAAAAAAGAGGCATATTCCCTCTGGCCATTTATATTTTAAGGTAGTAAGTCATGTATATCTTATAAGTCAATATCTTAACTAATAAATTATTAGAGACTTTGATATATCAAAATGTTTTTTGAAATAAATTTAATTTCTTAATAAATTCTTTAGAGCCATATGATTCAGTTTTTAGTTAAGTCATAGCCTCTTTTCATTTTCTTTACTGATGGCAAAAGAGGCATTATAATCATTCATTTTCCTGCTGCTTATTAACAGTTCAGAAGCCAGTGTGGTGAGTGAGTGTGGGGAATGTGTATGCTTGTGTGCATGTTGCTTCTTCTCATTCTATTCCTCATTGCCTACTCTAATGAATAAGAATACAGGCAGTCCTCAACGTACATCGTTTTATGGTTATGTCGCCATCTCCCATTTACACTATAAAAAAAAAAGTTCCGTCATTTTGATGTATGTACATAGGTGCTTTATGTTTTTTATTATTTATTTACCCCAAGTAAAGGTCAGGAATTGTTATCTTTCTTGTAAATTTTTTTTACTGTTTCACTTCATTACTGCTGTGTATGTGCTCCATGTGAGTGACATAGGTGCTTATGTAGGCGGGTTCTGACTTACGGTGAAAATCGCGTTACGTCCTGCCATAGGAATGGATCTCCAAGGTAACCCGAGGACCTACAGTAGTTTTCCTGTCCTAGCTGGTTTGGCTCAGTGGATAGAATGTCGGCTAGTGGACTGAAGGGTCCCAGGTTCAATTCCGGTCAAGGGCATATTTTCGGGTTGCGGGCTTGATCCCCAGTAGGGGGCATACAGGAGGCAGCCAATCAGTTATTTCCCTCTCATCATTGATGTTTCTATCTTTTCTCTCCCTTCCCTATCTGAAATCAATAAAAGTATATTTGAAAAAGAAAAAAGAATAGTTTCCTTAGGAAAGTATGTAAGTGCTGTCTCCAATAATGAACGAATTTAAAACATTTACAAATTTAACATCAGTTGTAGGGAAAAGCAATGGTCATATTTTAATTCTTTTTGCATTGCTAAATCTACCCCTGGAGAGGGACCCTCCGAAATTGAAAATAAGAACAATTGTAATAGTTATCAAGTTACTTTAAAAAGCTTTCTAGGTCAAATGCAATACAAGGGGCCAGTCAGGAATATTTCCAAGTAACTCTGAGCATAAATATGAGTCAGTTCATTAGAATGATTTACTAATATTATAACTAGTTAGTAGAATGTTTTAGTATGTCTTCCCCATATTCGTATCCTTGAAGCACTTTGTATTTATCTTTAATATGACAAGTGAGTTTTTAATGGGTTTCTTAAGTGTGCCAAAAGATGTTCTCACTTTACCAATTGTTGTCATTTATATATGTTAAAAGATCAATCCAGTTCTCTTGTTGAAAACAAGAAAAAAATTAAGCTGATATATCAGAGATCATATGTTTTAGATATAGAGGTAATCTTTTGACTTTATGTGGTATACCTGTGACCAAAAAACCTTGTCAAAGAATGTTTCCTTCTTATCACCCAGACTAGAGACCCGGTGCATAAAATTCATGCACGGTTAGGGTCCCTAGGCCTGGCCAGTGATCA